AACCCCACCCCTGCAACTGCCTCTTAAAAATAGGCTAACCTCTCCTCAAATAGCTCACGAGCATTCCTTATCTGAAGGTCAGTTGGACTGGGTTTCTGAACGAACACAGAGCATGTCTCTAAAACAATTCTTTGCACATGGTCGTAATTTATACACGATGTTAACAGAACAGATGCTATAAATGTTCATTCTTGGGGGGACGCCCAGGTATCCCAGCACCAGGAACGGGATTTGGGAGGATGTGCTGCTGCAGAGCATAGTTCCCTCTACTGGGGAGGATGGAGCCTCAGCTGTAGGTTAGTGGGAGAGATTTAAGGTGAGGGTCTTGGGAGCTGACACTGGGGCTGTACCCAAGAGCTATCTTAAGGCTCCCTTAGGTCTTTTCACACTTGATGGAGATGGAGAGCAGGCTTGGGGGAGAATGGACTGTCACTGGCTGTATAATAAAAGAAATCGTGAGAACTGCCTCTTTCCTTTTTAACTACATTGAATATTCTGAACCCCAAGCTTATAATAATAATCACTGTCATTTTGCAAGGGTCTGTTATGAACCAGGTCTTTTATAGACAACACCTCCCCAGCTTCTCATAATTACTCTGCATGCTCAGAATTACTATCCCCCCAGAAGCCAGCATGCAAATCCAATCCTTTAACTATGAGAAATCTTTGTTCTTTTCCCATAATCACCTTTTAAAAGATGCTGGATACAGAGCAATTACCTATTGCATGAAGGTGCAGCTCCACTGTGATGACATCAACTCCTGTTCTGCACCACTGCACAGCCCTGCTCCTCATCCTTCCCTGTCATGCTCATCTCACTTCCCATCCTCCCCACCCAACCATTCCTGCCCATCTCTGAAGCCCCACCACCTGCCCCCTTTATGGGGCTCTCTGAACTTTGCCAGCCATCATGGCCCTTCCTGCCTTCAAGCATCAAGCACACCTCTCAGCCCTCTCTGCATTGTACCCTCTTGTCCTTAGTACATCGTTTGTGCCTCCCAACTAGATTCTAAAGTCCCTAAGGCCCAGGCGTTGTCTCATTTACCTGTACATCTTCCTGAGCATGATGGAGGGAGGCAACTATGAAGAGTGGGAAGACCACCAACCTTGAAGCCAGATCAGCCTGAGCCAGACTCCCTGCTCTGCCACATGGGAGCAGGACAACCTGGAGCCTTATACTCTACCTTGCTGAGTCTCACTCTTCTAGATCAGTGGTTAGAGCAGTGGTCTTATAAATCAGGGCCTGCAGGGAATCAGAGATCTCTGTGGTTATCTCTGTATAGCATCATTGTTAAGGCATAGAGTCCAGCTCTAGATTATCCAAATTCTAATTCTACTTCTGCTACTCACAAGGTTAATAACTGGGTCTTTGCCTCAGTTTCCTCATATAGAAAATGAGAATAACAACACTTATCTCATTGGATTGTTGTAAGAATTAAGTGAGGTATTTTATGTAATGTCTTTAGACCAATTCCTGGCACATAGGAAGTGCTGTGTAATGATTTGCCATTATTATATTACTAGTGTTACAGAAAACTGTTGTTTTAGAAAATTTCCTATATGCTTTAAGTGTTACTGAGACAATGAAATGAGATCATATGTAAAGAACCTGGCACATCAGACATGCAGCAGGTGGCAGTGCCCTTCCCTCACCTGCCCACTGTGCCTGGTGGGAATGCCTACATCATAGATGCTGTACAGATCCTTGTGAACCAATTGATACCTTCTCAAAGAATCAATCCAGAGAATAAGCTATGCCTTTTCTCACTTAGAGGCTATAGGTCTAGGTTCAACATGCCCTATCTCTTGGTTTATCAATATAAATAGTTAATTTTGTTAAGAGTTCCGTATTTGCCAGACACTGGGCTAAATGCTTCACATGTGTTATTGTTCTTAATCCTCACAATTTGTATGGGTGCTCATGCCCATTTTGATAGATGGGAACACTGAAGTCCAGAGAGGTTAAGTGACTAGCTCACACAGCTAGTACATAGCAGAGACAGGACACCGTGGATACCCACTGACTTTAAACCCCCTGCTATTGATCACCACACAGTACAGCCTTCTGCCTAAAACACCCTGAATACAAGGGGAGACAGAGGCTCCAAGATATCATTTGCCATTTAACTCATCATTTCCTGAGTATCATCTAGTAACAACTGCCAGATTTTGGATCAGGAACTACCAGAGGTCAAACCAAACAGTCCTCTAGTCATCATGGAGAGGCTTTCCCGGATGGTGAATGGGCACTGTGTTGAGCAGGGTGGCAGGAAGACCTGTCCAAATAAGGGAAAACCCCTTTTGCCAAAGTCACTTTGATGCCGGGGTGGGGCAGTGAGAAAAGGGACCTGCCACCACCCACAGAGAGGAGCCCCAAGAAGCCCAGACAAGAGAAGGAAAGGGCAGGCTGGTGACAACTAGGAGAGTCCCCTGGGAAATGGCCCATTTCCTTAGCAGTGCATCCAAACCACCAAGAGGTGCAGCACACAAGTCCCCACTGAGGGAGGCAGGTGGGATGGGGGCCTTGTAGAGACTGTGAGCCAAGCACAAGGGAGGGAAGCAAAGCCTTGAGGGAATGGGACCCTGCCAGTCCCTTGGGAGCAGCTGAAGGACATTTTTTCAGGGAAGAGGGAGATGAATCACCTTTCCAGAGCCTGCCCCCTGCAAGTCCTCTGACACTGTTAAAGGAAGGGTCAAACAGGCAAAGGCAAGACAGCTGCTTGGTTGGAACGATCCCAGTGGCCACTTGCCCTCTCATTCCTCAGGTCCTCCTCTTCAGGCTGCAGGCTGTGTGTCACATCCCAGAGTCACTGCTCTGGCCACCCACAAACTACCCACCATGTGTCATAAACCACACTCCCAGAATGGAGGGGAAACCCTAGAAAGATTGTGCCCCTGACCTCATTCCTATTTTAGAGCTTACACAACAAATCCTGTGGCTAACAGCAGAGAGAGCAGAGCACAAAACCCTAGTAGACACAGGCCCTGGGAGCATTGGGGGAAATCTTGCCTCCTTCCCACATGCCGTCACTCTGACCTGTCAGCTTCCAAAAATGTTTAGCAAGTACAGCAGCGAGGGGCATGCTTATCAGCCTGGCATGGGAGCTTAATCTGCTTTGAGGTCCTTCTCCAGCCCAGAGTTCCAAAAGTCTGCTTACAATTAGCTCCCAGCTCCAGTTCCTCCATCAGAAAGGCTAGGAATGTGTTGAGTTCTAGCCTCTGATCAGAGAAAGCTCCAGAAGAAGGTGGAGACAGTGTCAGCAGAGAAGTAAGTGCCAAAAAGGTCAGCTGGTCTGTTGCCACTTCCCTGACACCAGCCCCAAACTACCCCACCCCCTGTGGCTTCCTACCTCTCCTAACAGCAACAGTCACTTCCGTCAGGTCGGCCTGTCCCCAAGAGCCCCTGCTGACTAACTGCCAAGAAAATTCAACATGCCCCTGCTCTCTCCTACCAGAAGAGGGAAATAAAGCAGCAGGGAGGGCAGAAGGCCAAGAAAACCTGATTGGCCCTTGCTGATTTCCTTAAAAGAGATTGCATGGCCAGGGCCTGTCACCCAGCCGAATTGGGTGATGTGGGCTCTGCCTGGAAAGGCAGAAATCATCACTTGTCTTCAACCTCAAGCCATGCCCCCACCCCTACCCCCACTCCTAATCACCGGGGCTGCCAGCACCTGGATCTACTACCCAGGAAGAACAGGTTTAGCTTCAGCCGCCATTCTAGGCAGCCACCCTCACCCCCAGCACAACGGTCAGCCGAGAAGCTAGGAGTCCCCAGATTGCCTGCCTTAGCTGGTGCACATCCACTGCAGTCCCAGCACTGTCCCCAGAATCCTGTCAGCCCAAGGTATGGGCAAGGGCAGGCCATATTCAAGCAGGAGTGCCAATTCACTGACACCCACAGACTCCTTTTTTTGGATCTTGCAGCCAGGCCAGGGGGCGTCAAGCCCAACAAGTCCTCAGACCATTCATTCCTTGGCAGGGACAGAATCTTTGCTGAATCGACAGACAGACAGCCGCTGCAGCAGACACTGCCTTTTAGGGGCCAAGTCATCAACATGTAGGACCTGACATTTCCAGTGTTGCACATATTTTTTTGAGAACACCCAGCCGTGACTTCAGAAAGAAGCTGCAGGCGTGCCCGCACCCTGGTCTCACTCAGCTCCTTAAGGCAAACCTCGGGTATCCAGGGCCACACCCACCGGCCAACCCACTCTCCTCGTGCATCCCCCAGTCTTCCTGTCTAGGTGGAAAGGTTCCCTTCTCCGTCCCTACGGTATCCAACCTTGCCACTCCTCCGCACCCCCAAAGAAGTATTCACCTCTCTCTCCCAGAACAGTGCCCAACACACAGAGCCTCTCACCTGGGTATCGAACCCGTTTTCCACCGAGCCGCTCTTCCGCAGCGGGAGCCCCTCCCCCGTCGGCTCCTGCAGCCCCTGCGATTTCAAGGGGATCTGACTAGGGTAGGTGATCTTGCTCACCTCCACTTTGCTTCCCAACTTGAGGTAGCAGGGTTGGGGGCCGGTTCGGGCTGGGGGCACGTGCAGGATGGGTGCGGCGCTGTGCACGGGTTTGGGCAGTCCCGACTTCATTTTGGAGGCGACCAGGATGGCCGGCATCTTCTCCCGGGGCTTCGGCTTTCCCAGCACGTCCCTGGCAGCGGCGGCGGAGGCGACCGCTAAAGGCAGCGCGGGCAGCAGAGCAGGCGCCGGGCCTCGGCCCTCGAGGCGCCCACCACCAGCGAGGGGAAAAAAATCCCCGGGTCGGGGAGCTCGGAGCAATCCGGAGAGCGCGCCTTCGCGATGCCGGGATGCGGAGGAGGACGGGTCGCGGCGCTCAGCTGGTCCCACCTGGACAGATGCTGCAGCCCGGTCTCACGCCTTTTCTGGGAGGCCTCTTGAAGGGCTCTGGGCGCTCAGGGGTGGTTGACTGTGGCAATTCTCCTCCTGGGACCCGAGGCTTGGATGCCCATATTAACTTGTCACTGCGTCTCGGAAGTGAGGAGGCCCCTTTGGAAGAGAAGCGGCGGGGACGCACGCCTGCCGCTCCGGGAGGCGCTGCTGTGAGCGGGCGAGGGAGGGAGCGAGCAGCTCGGGGAGGGAAGGAGAGAGCGGAGGAGGAACGAGAGGGAGGGTGCACGGAGCCCAAGACGTCTCCAAGAGGCAGCTGCCGCCCTGATCCCGAGCACCGCAGTGTCGCTTGCTACGCAGAGGCGCAGCGAGAGCCCTCGAAAGGTATCTCTAGGCGTAATAGTCACCACTGCCCAGAAGCCCCACAGAAAGCACCTTAGCGCCTGTGGGTTTGCACATATTCTATGCGCTATAGCGCAGCAAAGCTGTGGCCGTGGGGCACAGGCACCGGGATGCGCGGCTGGCGGGCAGAGCAGGGCTGCGCTCGCGAGCAGCCGCCCGCTTCCCAGGAAGGCAGCGCTCGCTGGCTGCGGGGCTCTGCGAAAGGCTGGACCGGCTGCTACCCGCGAGTCTGCGGCGCGCGCTGACAGCCCGGGCCGCCCCGGCACCCCTATTGGTCCGTGGTGTGCCAATCAGAGGCCGCAGCTCTCACTGCAAAGGGGGCGTGGCCTTTACTCCGGGGCCGCCGCCGAAACTCTGGGGCCGCGCTTGGCCGCAAGTACAAAGCGGGCTGGTGGCCGCTGTGCGGCACTGCTGCGAACGCGCGCTTCCCCGCGGGCCGACGCTGCCGCGTCCCTGAAACCTTTTGAAAAATGCCCCTTCGAACGCAAACGCCCGCGAGCGGGCAAGGCTCAGGGGAAGTTTGTTTCCTTTTTCAAATTGTTCTGGTCACCTTAACGGTTTGAGTCTTCCGGAGTCACGCCTGCAGCCCTGCGGCCTCCCAGCTGGACTGGGCAAGGCCGTTTCTCGTCTCCCGCGTTAAGGATACGCCAGCCATTTCTCCTTTTTTTCTGCCTTCTCTCCAGGCGGGCCGGGGGGCGTCCCAATAGCTTCCCCTCTAGCTTTCAATGGCTGCACATTTCACTTAACTATTTGAAATATTTATAGGCAAATACACTACCCAGGGAAGCCTCCCGCCCGGAGTCAGCTCCCCCTCGCAACCTACCACAGGCTGTAATTAGAGTGGCCGGAGGAATCCAGGAGAGGCCCCGTGACCCCGGCTGGCTCAGGCGTTTCATGTAGGAGCCCCTCCCTGTCCACGCCTTGGACACACTGGCCCCACAGGTTCCTCGACTTCGCCAAAGGATCTCGCCCCTCTCGGTTGCTCTTTAAGTTGCGCTTACTCAAAATAAGTGTGAGTTGTAAGGAACGATCTACGCAGGCCAGAGCCCTCGCTGTTCACGTATAAGGAGCCCCCACCCTGTAGAACTGCCTGGATTTAAATTGGGCAAATTCTCTAATCTTATATGCATCCTTAAAAAATTTTGGCTTTCGTTGGAGTAAGGAGGAGGCTTGACTACCTTTATATAAGGTGCTGTTGTTTCGATTAAATTAGATAGTGCAAGACAGTCGTTTACAGGTGCCTGGCAATATAAGGGGCCAATAGAAGTTGGGTATTATTATCCCTATTATTAAATTACTGCTACTTTACCCTCCAGTTCTCTGCTGATAAGCGTTTGTCTTTTCTTCTCTGAGATGACAGGTTTTCATTGTATGTGCACCCTACAGCCTAATTTACAAAGCTGATAGACCTGACTTATCATTATCCAGACCAGAAGAAACTTCAAAGTTTTAAAACAAGCTCTTAAAAGCAGCATTAAGAAATGAGAAGGTTCCTTTTTAGCCTGGCCTACTCTCTTTCTGACCTTGTCTTCCACCCATTCTATACAGCAACTTTCTACTCTACCTAGGCCAAAATACAGCATTGTATATTTCAGGTATCCTTCCCTCCCTCTGAAATTAAATCACACATGGTCCATACCACTGACTTAGTACTCAGCCCTTTGCCATCTGACACCACCTTGTTATTTATCATCCATATTTATTTTCTTCTTGGTAAGCCTCTTGAAGTTAGGAACTGTGTTATCCACTAGGTTCTCTCAGCATCTAACGCTGTAAACAGAATAGCTATCCAAATTGTTATTGAATGAATGAGTGAATGATATTAGCAGTAGTTCTCCAGGAGGAGAGCCTTTTAGATTTGGAGCATAAGGTTGTAAGAAATTTTACATGATACTAAACCTTAGGACTCTCCTACCCAGAATTCTAATTCTGACAGATGTACCAAGAGTTATGGAAAGATATTATAGTCTTTGACTCTAAAGGTCATGGAGATATTTCAAAGTAATTCCATGGCCCTAATGCAGTGGTTCTCAAAGTATGGTGCCCAGCAGCAGCACCTGGAAATTTGTCTGAAAAACCCACCCCAGACCTACTGAACTAAAAGCCCTGGAGGTAGGGCCCAGCAAAGTTTAACTAGTGTTTAACCCAGTGATTCTGATCATACTAAAATTTGAGAACTTCCATGCTATGCTAATGAATATATCATTCATTCAGTGCTCTTTCAGGGCTTCTTAAGCCTTAACATACATAGGAATTACTGGAGATTTTGCTAAAATACAGATTCTGGTTCAACAGATTTGGAATGGGGCTGAGATTTTGCTTTCAGAATAAGCTCCCATATTATGCTCAAGCCGGTAGTCTGAAATGACCCTTTAAATAGTAGGGCTACACCATACATAGCAAAAAGGTTTCATCTCAACCATAGGTAGCAAAAAAAGGCCATCTGTAGTTAAGTGACTTTCTCTCACACTGTGCTAAAAAGAATTCTGAGGGTGCATTTATCTAGTTTAGTTGGTACTAGCACCCTGACCAATTAATAATGTCTGTCATGGGTACAGAAAGAAAAATAGTGACATTCATGCTATGTATTTGCCATCTTTGATCTCTTGTTTAAATTGGCTGCCAAGGTCATTTTTTTTTGGGTTTTAAGGCCCTCAAATATGTACTGATATGAAAAACAGTGCATCTTTTTTTATTGTTGTATATTAAAAGTACCTATTCCTAACACCCTAGGATTTGGTAAACGTATGAGCACTCACCTTAACCCTGTGTGATTTATCTAACTAGTACCTGATAATTTCTCATCTTTCATGATGGAAGACAAGTGAGTCTTTAAGTCTATTTCAAAATGGCATCCCTTTAATAATTTTATTTGCTCTTTCCTGGAACATTCTTCATGTCCCTTTATATCTTTCCTATAAAACTACATTTTCCTTATTTAGAGCGAAATAATGTATCATCATAACCAAACAAGGGAGGGGAGGGGAGCTATTTTTTTGTCTGGGACGAAAGAGATAATTGTGAGATTCCTCCTTAAATAAGGTAATCTCAAATTATAAAAATGTCCTATGAAGTTATTCCTTCCATATGGAAGCTATGTTAACATGAGAGAAGTTGTGTTAAATAAAGATGTTAGGCAAGCATTGGTAGCCAAAGAAGCCCCTGGTTCAGAGAATAGCAAACTGCTTTGGAAAGAGCACAGTATCCAGGCTTTTAAAATATTATTATTATTTTTATCATATGCACTATGGTCAGTCCACCATTTAAAATCCCAAATTCAATGACCCTTCTCTCTTTCTCCTGTCTGATACTGAACTTTCTAAATCACCCACAAATCAGTAATGGGCCAGTTTGAAACTTATTCCCAAAGCTCTCAGGACAACTGAATCATCCTCAGAGTTCAGAGTTCCCTGGTTGTAAGAGTCATCCTCAGATCAGGATAAGGCAGCTGCACTGCTTTCTGATCCTCAACAGCAGCCACTGTTGATTAGTTGAGTGTGAATTGGGCTTCAGAGCTGACCTGCAAGTGACCAGCCCCATCAACCCATCCTTCATCTGAGTTAAAGCCCCCTGGCTGTGCCTGACCTCCCAAGAAGACGGGCCTGTGAAGAGCTGAAGCATCTAAACCCCAGCCTACCATAAAAAATGCAGGGATCTGGGGAAAAAGTCAGTGGCTTCTTGGAAACCCTGGCTAGAAATGATAAAGGGGTATGTTGCAAGTCTCTGGAATAAAATAAAAAGCAAAACATTCATGAGTTTATTTGGAAGTAAAAAAAAAATAGAATCACACTAGCTTATTTTCTAAATAAGCTTCTCTTAAATTTTCTACAACAGGGGTTGGCAATTTATGGCACATATTTCAGAAATGTCACAAATGACCATATTTTGGTAGTGGCTGAATTGAGGGCCCACGCATCTCAGACTGTACAGAGGCAGGGGTAAGAACTTTAGGAAAGCTCTTTAGAAAGTCTGCTCACCCTGCTGCCCACTGCCGTCTAATCTACCCTTTTCCAGATGACTCTGTGCAGATCAATATGTGCAATGGTAATCTCTGGGAGATTGGGGGTTCTCCCACCTGCAGATGCTGAAGTGTAAAGGAGTATGTGTGTGTGTATAGGCATTTGAGGCAATGGCCCTTATTAAATATCAAACCATAGCAAACTGTTGATTAATCAGATATTGAGTGGATCAATCATTAATTCAATGAATAAATTGTTGAGAGCCATCTATTTGCCAGGCTTTGGGCATTATGATAGAGAGCAAATCAGGATAAATTCTTGTTCCCTGCTCTCCAGGTTCATCTGCTGTTTCCCAGCTTGAGGATCACCTGTTTCAACACCAAAAAGCTGAGAGAACTCACAGTCTAGTAAGGGAAGTAAATGGGGAGATGAATGATAAATAGTAAAACTAGTACTCTTGCAGGGCAAAATATACTGTGATCAATGAGGCACATAGGAGAATCAACTATCCATGCAGTTAGCAGCCATTTTGATTAATTAAACTTTCTAACCAACAAAAAACAAAAGAGTAATGGAGAAAAATCTCCTTTCTCCACCCTTAGTGTTAAATTCTAAGAGATATGTGTCCACTCTCCTATCTTTGTAACTTAAGTCTAGGAAATACTCCTTTGTTTGCATCTTGCCTCATTCCACAAAGATTTGAGGAAAATCCATATTCAATAAAATAATGACTATTAATAAGAATAAGTATAATAAGAGGGATATAAGAGGGAAAACATTCCTATTTAAAACTTAGGCTGTGACTACTTTTGCCTTCTGTAGTTGGGGGAAGGTTGCATAAATAAATCGCACCAGTGGGAACATAAACTGCATATCACTTCCTTTCATATTCTGGCCAGTTTGGGGCTAGTCTAGAAAGAGCCTCTGAGTATATGGTCTCAGAGATAACATTAGTAAGTATTTGGATAGCTCAAGGTCAGCCCAGAGCCCAGGGGTCAAGCTATATCATTGTCTATAATAAGTGAGAAAAAGTCAGTTTTCCTGGAGAGGTTTAGTGTGAAGAGCCCCCCAAAATGGCATAGCCAGAGCACAGTGAAGAGACCCCCTCAGGGGGCTGGAAGAAGCAGAGCAAAGTGGCATAGGAAAACCCTTTCTTTGCTCCAAAATAGCAATAAAACCTGCTGAGCTACCAAATGCTTGAATGCCTAGATTTTTCTTTTGATGTGGGAGAATTATTTTTA